GAATGCTGACATCTCTCTAAACACACTGCTTCTGTCCCTCCCCCATACACATACCCTCCCTGTCACACTCTCCCTCTTTCCTCTGATCTTCTGTTGAAAAGCAGCAGCTAATGTAGCAGGATGACCATGAAGCAATGAGACTGGGAAACTTGCATCATATGATGCTAACTGCCCTAGGCAGGCATTGCAAACACTTCCCAAAGAACACAGTGGTCAATTGCGCAGTGGGATACTACCACAATGCACTGCTCTCTGAGGCATTGTAAGACCTGCTAATGTGGACATGCTCCATCATTGCAAGGAGCACAGTATGGACACACAACAGTGGTTTCCCTGTAGCGCTCTGTGAGAAGCGCTGTAACTGCCAACACTTTACACCTGCCGGTATAGACATCTATTTCAAATTTTAAAAATCACAATGATTTTACTTCTGAAATGTTTAAATGAAGCATTTTGGTTCTTTTGGTCTTTTCTCTCTTTTTCTAATGGATAATTCAATGAAGTGAATGTGAATTCAGGAACCTTTTTGACGTAATCAAATCTGAATTTTTCTTTGAAACAAAAGTTTGGACCAAAACATTTCACCCAGCTCTAGTCAGTGTGAGGCCTACTCTTAACAGACTCTATCTCTGACCTGTGACAAGTCATGTGCTCTGACATTTTCAAACTTGAGTGTCTGTATTTTCTTTGAAATTATATATATGTATAAAAATAGTGTAAACAACTAACTGAACTATAAGATGGAGAAATTAAATTACATAATGAACTAGAGATGAAGCAAACAAAATGTAGCAGATGAAAAGCGACCATCTTAGGTAAAGTAGTTTAATATAGGAATATAAGGAATGAGGTTTGATGAAAATCTAAAAAGCCCAATTTAATTAAAACTTATTCAGAAAAGATGTTTGTTGGATTTAGCCACAGAAAATAATAACTGCGGAATTGCCTGTAAGGTGACATTATGAAGGCCTGGGGGGAAGAGAGAAAGGGGAGAGAGAAATACAACAAGCCCTCACAATGAAAGTGCAGAAAGAGGATGGGAAATTAAGTAAGAGTACTTGAGCTTATACATCAGAAAAGCTTAGTTTTGAGATTCTGCTTAGCCCCAGCTCCTAGCACAATTTCTTTATATTGATTAAAGCAATCTCTTTGGAAAATGTTCAGTAAATGCAGGTCACCTGCAAGCATTTTCTCACAGAAGAATTCTCTCCTGGCTTGCACTAGTTTTTCACTTATGCAACTCCAGCAGTAATTCTGCTGAAATAAATTTGCAATGGTATAAGTTAAAGGAGAATGAAGTGCAAATATTTTAGTTAGGGCTCTCAAGCAATTTAAAAAATAATGGCTCTATTAAATAAGAATAGAATACCATTTAATGAAATAGTTTAGATGTCTTCTACATTTTCAAATATATTGATTTCAATTACAACGCCGAAAACAAAGTGTACAGTGCTCACCTTATACGTTTGATTATAAATATTTGCACTGTAAAAAACAAAAAAAGTTCATTTCCCCCATTACAAATACTGTAGTGTGATCTCTTTATCATGAAAGTTGAATTTACAAATGTAGAATTATGTGCAAAAAAACTGCATTCAAAAAATCAACTGAAAACTGTGAGGCCTACAAGACAACTCAGTTCTACTTCTTGTTCAGCCAATTATGTAGACAAACGACTGTGTTCACATTTGTAAGGTATAAAACTGCCTGCATTTTGTTTAAAATGATAATAAAAAGTGAGAACAGGTGTTGACATGACACTGTTGTAGTTGGCCTTGCAAGATATTTATGTTCCGGATGTGCTAAAGTTTAATATATCCCTTTATGCTTCATCCCCCATTCCAGAGGACATATGTCAATGCTGATGATGAGTTCTGCTCTATAATGATCTAAAGCAGTATACATCAACACTTATTGCTAGCAGATGGTTGATTTCTTTGATTTCTTTTTTGGTGTTTTCGATTTTATAGTGTCTACATCAAAGTGTTCCTTTTTAAGACTTCTGAAAGCATGTTGCACACCCCATCCGTCTTAGATTTTGGAAGACACTTCAATTTCTTAAATCTTGGGTCAAGTGCTAGAGTTATTTTTAGAAATCTTACAATACTACCTTCTTCACATTTTGTCTTAAAATGAACAACTTGTGTTAGGTCATCATCTGAGATTGCTATAATATGAAATATAGCAGAATGTGTGTAAAACAGAGCAAGAGGCCTACAATTCTCCCCCAAGGAGTTCAGTCACAAATTTAATTAACACATTCCTTTTTAAACAAGTGTCATCAGCATGGAAACACGTCCTCTGGAATGGTGGCCAAGTATGAAGGAGTATGTAGGGCTATGTCTAGACTACAGGTTTTTTTTTTTTTTTAAAAAGGAGCCTTTTTTCGAAAAAACCTCACCTGTGTCTAGACTGTCACCACATTCTTTCGAAATTAAATCAAAAGAACATGGCGGTTTTTTCGACAGCAGTAAATTTCATTTTATGAGGAAGAATGCATTTTTTTTTAAAGAGTTCTTTTGAAAAAAGGCATTCTTGACCTTAAACAGGGCTTTTTTGAAAGTGAGTGTCCTGATTGCCTGGGTGATCTCTTTCAAAAAAGCGGATTGCTTTTTTGAAAAAAGTTGTGGCTGTCTAGACAATCTCTTCCAAGAGAAGCTTTTTTGAAAGCTTCTTTTGAAAAAGCTTCTTTAGAAAGAAGTGTGTAGTCTGGACGTACCCTAAATATTTAGAGTATCTGACATGTAAATACCATGCAATTCCAACTACAAAAGCCATGGGTGCACCCTTTTTCACTTTCAGGTGACATTGTTGCAA